TTTTTTCTTTAAACTCAAGTGTGAATAGATTGCCACCTAGTGGAGGTGTTTGGATGTTATGGATGGAAAAGAACACTTTTGACTAGTCTTTTTAATTTCATTAATTTATTGGAAAATATATTTACAAAGAGACCATGAGTGAATATACCATTTTAACTATATAGCACTTTATTAAGAGTTAAGCAAATTTTGATGGCATGAAATATCATTGGCACTATGTATTAAAGGTATTTCCATTTTCCATCTTCAGTGGAATGCTGCTCTATGTTAAAAAGACACCGGTGTGCAAGGCATGATAATCTGTTTCCAACCGTAGTCAAATATAAACAGGAGTTAAACAATGAAGTTTATTAATAAAAACCACAAGAACAAGTGGTTTGGTCCTTTGAATTGGAATGCAGCACATGGATTCTGTTGTTTGTTTGGACGTGGAGTTTTTGAGTCAGATTGAGGACTGTAGGACTGGGGCCTTTGGGTGCATCCAAAATCACTAACTGCTTGAGTCGAGGCAGATGCTGAAGTTGAAGAAACTCTGATTCTGGAACATTATGGTGTCTGAAAGAGAGAAGCTGATTAGAATGAAAGTAACTGAGGTCAGACACACATACAAAGCAGTGCGTTTACTCATTCTGACATAATATATTTAGAATTCATGACAAATAACTCTCACCTCACTTTCAGGATTTGCAGCTTTGGGAAAATCTGGGGCATTTCTGTGATTACATCACAGATGTTATGACAACGCAAGTCCAAGTGGAGGTGAAGGAGATCCGGCACCTGCTCGCCCATGATCCTGACAGACTCCAACTCAGCCTTCACTCCCATGAGAGACAACCGCTGCACAGTCCTGGGAATCGATTCAGCGTAGGCTCTGAGAGAGTATCCTACTAGAAAATACAACAAAATGAGGGATTCATTGCCTAAAAATCGGTTCTGAATTGAAGAGTCTTCGGCTGATGATTCACAGGGCAACTTTTTTTTTCCTAATAAAGCAATATTGCTTTGGCACTTTCCCATTGAGAATGGATAACAAATGTCTATCTGGATATTTTAGATCGATCATGGGCCCTGTGTCTCACCTGGTTGCCCATTGAAGGCAACATTTCCCAAAGTTGCACAGTGTATCATCAGCCTTATCTTCCTTAAGATGCTTGTCTAAATCATCCGAACGTTCTGAAACAGAAACTAGGGATGTCAAAAGAATAAAACCAATGGTAACACTTAACAATACTGTGAAGTGTGTTTGTTAACATTTGTTAGTTAACGACATAAGCTAACATGAAATAACAGTAAACAATACTCTGAAAGCATTTTCTTAATCTTATTAGCTCATTTTAACATTTACTAATGTATTATTAAAATCAAAAGTGGCATCTGTTCATGTTATAAACACTGAAGATAATAAATACTGTAATTTATTGCTCATTGT